AGCCCTAAAAACAATTTTTAAAAGTTAAATATAGACACATTTCATCTTTTAAATTTTATTTTAGACAAATAAAACATGCGCACTTGAAGCAAATATTCATACCTAACTAAAATCTAGAGAAAACATCTACCCAGAATTCCAGATTTCTGAATATTTTTATTTTTTGATTTGTCAAAGTTCCATCTTTTCTTTCCTCAACAGAATACTCATCTTTTGCAAGCAACCAGATTTATGAAATACATTTTATTATTTTGCATTGTTACAAAACATTATCAGCACAGAACATTTAAAGATCAGAAATAAAGACAGGCAATGCAAGTCCCCACCACGCCAACTGGTACAGGCATCAACATATTAATACATGCACACAAATACACAAACTGGGTTTTGCAAAAATAGGATTACCTTATATCATTTCATTAGTCTATATGATAACCAGCTTTCCACATTATAATACACACACATATATATACATACATTTTTTTGTTTTTGTTTTTTTCCAAGACAGGGTTTCTCTGTGTAGTTTTGCACCTTTCCTGGAACTGATTTTTAAGCCCAGGCTGGCCTCAAACTCACAGAGATCCGCCTGGCTCTGCCTCCCGAGTGCTGGGATTAAAGGCGTGTGCCACCACCACCCAGCAACATCATAATATCTAAAATTTTTTTTCTTAAAGCACTGCCAGCAGGGCTACCCACTGAGCCACATTTCTCCACCACCTTTGTTTTGCTTTTGTTTTGTATTTTTACCATCAACATAGCTTACATAAAAAAGCATATCCTAGGGCTGGAGAGATGGCTCAGAGGTTAAGAGCACTGACTGCTCTTCCAGAGGTCCTGAGCTCAATTCCCAGCACTGACATGGTGGCTTACAACCATCTGTAATGAGATCTGGCTCCCTCTTCTGTATTCATAATAAATAAATAAAAAAATAAATAAATATTAAAAAAAAAAGAGTGTTCCACTACCGGGATTACAGGCATAAGCCATCATCTGCACTGGGTAGTGGCTCAAGCCTCTAATTTAAAAAAAAAAAAAAAAAAATAAGCCATCATCTGCACTGGGTAGTGGCTCAAGCCTCTAATTTAAAAAAAAAAAAAAAAAAAGCATGTCCTAAGTATTTATTAGGTCAACTATTCTATGCAAATGTACAGCTATATCCTATGGCTTCCTCCTCATCAATACGGCTTTAAACACAAGGGCTCTTCTAATCCCTATCATAGATTGTACTTACACTTTTTTTTTTGGGGGGGGGGGTTCGAGACAGGGTTTCTCTGTGTAGCTTTGCGCCTTTCCTGGGACTCACTTGGTAGCCCAGGCTGGCCTCGAACTCACAGAGATCCGCCTGGCTTTGCCTCCCGAGTGCTGGGATTAAAGGCATGTGCCACCACCGCCCGGCCAGTACTTACACTTTTAAAGTTCATATACACTTTTCCATTAAACATTCTAATTGAACCTCCAGTTCAATTGATGAGGTGATCTGAAATTTTTACTTCACTGTGAACTGTAGTTAATTGTATCATTCAGTATCTTTTTTTTAAAAAAAGATTATTCATTTAATGTATATGAGTGCTCTATCTGCATGTAGGACTTTATGCCAGAAGAGGGCAACAGATTCCAGTAGAGATGGTTATGATCCACCATGTGGTTGCTGAGAATTGAACTCAGGACCTCTGGAAGAACAGCCAGTGTTCTTAACCTCTGAGCCATCTCATCTCTCCCACCCCTCATTCAATATCTTATGGGCCCCTGAGAATAGTGTCTAAAGGGAATCATGGTTTGATCTTCTGCAGAGATTAACAACAGAGCCTAAAATGGAAATGCTCAAATTGTTCCTAAGTATATTAAGACTCAGTGGATCAGGGATAAATCATAAGTTTCGGGTTATTTATTTTTGGTGGCATACAATAATCTCTTCTAGTGTTTAAATCTTCATCATTGCCTTGTAACTTATCACAATTACAGACAGCTGCTACATCATCAGCACACCTTAAAATTTTTTTTCTCTCTTCCTTTTGCCCCCTAATGTATTCTAAACTAGCTAGCTACAATATAATGAAGCAACACCATAAAAAGGGTGTGTGTGGGGAAAAAAAAGGGTAGTGCAGCCTGCCATCACCTAAAAACCTACAATGTATTTTAAATTTGTTTTTTCCTGTAAAGTAGAACCATGATGGAACTACCAAACTTTGACTTATCCATCACCCTACAATATATTCCTTCGGTAAAGACCTACAAAAAAGGAGTAAGTCACGAAAAAAGAAGTATCTTTAGAAAACAGACAAGTAAAGACTGCTTTGGATAGGTCAGCCATATTGAAGAGCTGTCAAAATATATGTTGTTGTATTACAGGTCAGAGGCCACAGCATGTTTCTCCGTAGCTTTTCCCGTAGCTTTTCCTCTTCCTCCTCATTTTTAGGTGGCGATACATGCATCACTCCATTCCCCTTGTTTACTCTGTCAGGTACTATTGTAGGCCTGATATAATGTACCGACTTTGCATGCATTATCTCATTTAATACACCAGTCTAACTTAAGTGAGAAAAGACTGTCGTAGAGAGATTAATTATCTTTTCAATCTGTACAAGAATTGTAAGAGAGCATTCAAGTAGGCCAGACCCACCGCAGGGTCACAGCTTCTGCTTTTCTAAACTGAACATCAAGAAACTAACCAGACATGATGTATGTCTGTAACCTTAGTACTCCGGAGGGTTGGGCCAAACAAACAAACAACTAAAAAAAAAAAAAAAAAAAAAAGACATTTCCCACACAGAACAACTAACAGACTAGCCCCTACCAGCATTTCCAGAAGACGGTGGCAGCATCGAGCTCAAAATGTGAGCGGTAAGCACCGAAGCAAGGGGGGTGGGGGAGGGTTTGGGAGTGGCAGGGCAGTGCTTTCTTGTAAGGGAGAAGAACTAAAGGAAGAAAGGGGTAAGCTCCAGGTTTTTTGCTTCCCAGCTCAAGCGCCAGGGAAGGTCCCGGAAAATGCGGCCCCAGATCGCAGTACGGTGCACTCACAGACGGCCCACAGATGCCCCACCCCACCCCGGCCGCTTTCCAGTGACACCCTTTCTTTCCCCTTTCTGGGGCGGAAAGGCAGCCCCCCCTGTGATGCAGGCAGTGCCGGGGAAACGCCTTGCTCTGTGGCACAAAGCCACTCTATGCTCCGCCAAAAAGTGTTTTTCCTTAGGTGTAAAGTGGCAGCCCCAACAGGGGAGCTTGGGTTTGTTCATGGATAGGACATGTCAATTATAAATATTATGCATAAAAGCACTATTTGCCACAAAAGGTAAAAACTAAGCTACAGAACCTCTCGTCAGTCAAACCGGGCTCAAGAGGATGGAACCTCAGTATTTCTTACTAAAGAAAAATCCCTCCCTGCAGCTTTTCACTTCAGCCACTTTAACTGGACTAGTTTCTAATATGTCAGTTGATGGTAGGAGTCAGTCACTAGAAGAGCTGTGTGTGGTGGTACATGCCTGTAATCTCAGCACTAGAGACACCAATATATAGTAAGATCAGTTCACCGTCATCCTTGACTACAAAGTGATTTCGAGGCCAGTCTGAGTTACATGAATCACATCTCACCTTAAAAAAAATTAACTTTTGACCTATATAGGGCGTGGAACACCATTCCATCTAAGGTTCATTGTCAGTTCTCTTAGAATCTCAACACCCTGCAAAGGATTTTTCTTTCTTTTACATACCAACTAGTTTCCCCTCCCTCCACCTCCCTTTTATATCCCTCCCCATCCACTCCTCCCATTTCTCCATTCAGAAAGGGTAAGGCCTCCCATGGGAGTCAACAAAGCACGGCATATCAAGTTTTGGCAGAACCAAGCTTCTCCCTCCTCCATCAAGGCTGAGTGAGGCATTCCACCATAGGTAGTAGGTTCCAAAAAGCAAGCTCATGAGCCAGGGACAGATCTTGGTCCCATTGCTAGGGGCCCCAAAACAGACCAAGCTACACAACTGTCTCCCACATGCAGAGTGCCTAGGTTGGTCCCATGCAGGCTCCCTAGCTGTAGGTCTAGAGTCCCTGAGCTCCCACAAGCTTGGGTCAGCTGTCTCTGGGTTTCCTCCTGCATGATCTTGACCCCCACCCCCCACCCCACCCCCCTCCCGCTGCAAAAGATTTCTAAGCAGAAGTGCTCAGGTAGAATTTAAGAGGATGTGTGCACTATGTAATGCACAACAACAGCATTCCAAGAAGGTATCCACATTTTAAAAGCATTAATAAAGATGCATTTCTAGTTAGGGTATTGTGGCAAGCCTATAACCTTCGAGGCGGTAGTGAGTTGGTGGTCAGTATGAGTTACCTACTGAGAGTAACCACTCTGAGGTCAGGTCATTTAAGCTCATTTTCTGTGGACTGTGGAACCAATCTTATTAAAAGCCTTGCTCTGACTTTGTCAAAGCTAAGCCACTATGCCCAGTTCTGTTTTCCGTTATGGTTGGGCTCACAGACTACTACCCTACAGTAAACTTTTCTTTTTTTGGTGTGGGAGACAGAACCCAGTGCTTTACCAGAGCTATACCTAAGCTCCTAACCCCAACCCCTCCCACTCCCCCAGTACTCTTAAACCCATGCCAGGCATGACAGAATATATTTAAACTCAGTACTCAAAGGCAGGTGATCTCTGATTTTGAAGCCAGCCTGGTCTACAAAGCAAATTCCAGGCCAGTCAGGGACTACACAGTGAGCACTTTCCCCCCAAACAAAACAAAGCCAGAAATCAAACCCATGACCTGAAGCATACTAAGCCCTACCATAAAGCTATAACCAAAGCCCTGGACACTTTTTAAGAGCCCAATAAATGACCTTTTCTTGTAGCCTAACAGTTAATGCTGAACTGAACTATGTAAACAGGCACTTTTTTTTTTTTTTTTTTTTAACAGAAAGCCAGCTCGTTACTTTATTACATTTTAGTGCTTCCTTAAAATAAATATGGTAACATCAAGTGCACAGTGAGAAATGAAGACACACGGGGGACAGCTGGTGACAAGCGGTCACAGACTTTAATGCTCACACAGTGCCACCCCGACTGGAGACACAGTCGCAAGGGAAGAGGAGGAGGACCACCTCCCGCCCTCAGTTTCTGCCCCATGCTCCTTCCCTCTGTCTACCCGGCCCCGCCAGTGGTGACACTCGTCAAGTCTCCTCTATTACCTCAATTCTCTCCCGCAATTCAAACAGATTCAAGTAACACTCTCAAAAAGAAATGTGCAAAACTAAGACTCCAGGGTCTTCCCACAGCTGATCCATCGCTGGGCACCTCTGCTCCCCAGGAATGTCTGCTCGGATGGAGTCAGCCAGCACAGGGACCAGGAGAAAAGGACCCGAAGCAGCTACATCATTCTGAAATAACTGCAAATAACCACCAAGTTTTTAAAGAGGCAACAAAGAAGAATTACCAACCTCACCTGAGACTGCACACCCCACTGAGCATGCTGCTCCTCCAGAAGCAGGCACTTTCTTTTAATCTGTTAATTCATTTGGGTGGGTGAATCCCCTCCCTATATAATCTTTACAAGTGTCAGTCTCTGATCTCTACTAATAATTAAAATATGATTTTAAGGCATGCAATTTTTCCATTCAAAGGCACAGAGAATAGGGTCTCTAAAAGCCAGTGACTACTCAACAGATGCTCCTCTTTATTAGTTTATACCATGCACTTGACTATCTGTAATTGTGGTCTTTTCATAGAAAAATTCATACCACAAAAGTTCTTGGTTAAGGCACTAAAGCTCTGAAACAATATACCCCAAGTATACAAAATGAATTTAAGTTCTCCACTACTTATTTATTCATGATTAAAATTAAAAGAAAAAAATCTTTTTGGTTTGTTTTGGAGACAGGGTCTCACTATGTAGCTCTGAGGGCTGTCCTTGAACTCAAGAGATTTGAGCTACTACACCTGGTTTAAAACTTAATTTCTTATTACTTTAGATAATACTGACTTGGGGCCTAGGCTGATAACAAGCTCAAGTCATGGGGGGAAAAAAGGCTTTTCAAGGATAAAGCAGGACTGGAATAAAAAGGTAAGAATGTGTACCATCAATAAAACCGCCATCTATGAAAGTATCAGTTTTACGTGAGATGATCCCCAACATAAAACTGATGCTTTCACATATGGCAGTGTCCCTCCGTAACACTTACTAGGCTTGTCCCCACATGGTAGAACAGATATTTGCTTCTTCTGAGTACATATAAAAATACACTTGCTAAATTTGTATACTGCCCTCAATTGCTAAGATACTCCACCTAAGAAAGGCTTTTTAATCAACCTTCCCCCTTCCCCTCTCACACAACCATCTTTGGAGGCAACTGTGTGAACTGTGTATGTAAGAGGTGGACTTCAAAGGTCTCTGACAAAGCAAGTGCTTTTAACCACTAAGCCAACTCTCCAGTCCTAGTTTTACAACTTAAACACAGGCATCAACCTCATCTGCAAAGCAATCAGAAAAAAAAAAAATGCTTATTTTCCTTTTAAGGACCATGATTAAAAAAACAAAACCAACAACCCCACCTTTGTCACCTTCTTACCCCCACCCCCAACTTTCCTGAGAGGGTCTTACTGCATTAGTCCTGTCTGACCTGGAACTATGTAGACCTTGAGGGCCTTGAATTTAAGAGATCCACCTGCCTCTGCAATGCTGGGATTAATATGGCATGTGTTACCAGGCCTGGTTGACAGTCTTTGCTTTTAAAATTTGCATCACAGTTGAAGGCTGTCCAAGGAGGAAAAATGCTTGTGGGGTATGTGCTTATGGCCAATTTTTAAGTCTAATATAGCTTTGATAATTACTTTATAAAATGCTTACGCCTCAGTTAGAGTCCATCATATTATGGGAAAATTTTTACTGTGTTTATTATGTCTGATTTAACTTTATTAGTAGCCTGCCAAGTAATAAAGTATTCATACTAATTAGTAGGTTCATTGCATTAAACTTTAACTTTGTAGTCTTAAAGGTCAAATCTCAGTGAGAAAGCAATTTTTTTTATATAAATATCAGTTACCTCACTTACCAAGCCTATTTTAGCTCGCATTTTCTTAAAAATCAGGAAAGATGTTGGTAACACCCCAGAGAATGTTGTTGTATCACCTACTATCTAGGAATAAGGTTACAGAAGACCCTGCTAGAGATGTACAGCTAGCATACCTGTATTTTCTAGTTGCTGTGATGGTGTATCTTTTATTAATAACACAGTTTAAACTTACTGGGCTGTTGGGTTTCTTTTTAACGACACAGTCTTAGACAGCCCAAGCTGGCCTTGAACTCCTGACCTTCTTGCTTGCAACCTCTCAGGTGCTGGGACTATCACCTGGCTACCCCCAAATATGACAATAAAATCTACTTTTTTTGTGGTGCTAGGAACTGAACCCAGGGTCTCACATAGGATGGGCAATTGTCCCACCACCCAGCAATAGACTTTTTTTTTTTTTGGTTTTTTTGAGACAGGGTTTCTCTGTGTAGCTTTGGTGCCTGTCTTGGAACTCACTCTGTAGACCAGGCTGGCCTCAAACTCACAGAGATCTGCCTGACTCTGCCTCCTAAGTGCTGGGCTTAAAGGCGTGCACCACAGCCGCTCAACCAAGCAATAAATTTAATGACTGCATATTATTCCACCTAATGGCTGGGACATAATGTATGTAATTATCTCCTATCCATTAACCAGTTCTGAACACTTGTATTCTGGGTCCCAGAGAAAGTGATCCCTTCATTTCTTTATACTAATGGATCTCATTCATATATATATATATATATCTTCTTCCTATCATTCCACCCCTGCTTTTAACAATCCAACTTGTCTAGAAGCTATCAAGGTACTAATTATGACTAATAAATAAGACATTTATATAACTTGACAAAGACTGTGTATTATGATTAATAAGTACCCTGCCATTATTATCTAAGCACGTCCCCCTCAAGCAGCTCAGTCTTTTAATCCACAATGCTCTCCTTGACAAGTATCAACTATCAAAATAAACAAGATCAGTTCTTCCAGAAAAGCTGCAAAGTTTACAATCAAAGTATGCCCTTGCAATGTCAAAACCTTGCAATGTCAAAACTATCTAAAAACAAACAAGGAAAAGAGATGGAGATATAGATGTGGGATGGAGGAAAGAGGACTGAACATGACAATGGAGGACTATGATCCCAGCACTTATCCTGCCTACATAATGAGACCTTCACTCAACCAAAACTCTTATTTGCTCTAAAGAAGGCCTATAAGCTTGCGTATTTATCTGAAAGTTACAGAGCCCCTAATTTAGTAAGTCAGCTGGTATGATCGTTAATTACTGAGCTCTAAAACACCAGTTTTTATGGCTGCTGTTATCTTTCTTGCCAGGTATGGTTACATACCTTTTGATCCCAGCACTCAAATCATAAGACAAAAACCTTTACCCAGTGACCTATATCTTGCCCACTCCATGAAACCCTTTAGTAAGAGAATAGAATGAATAAAATCAGTAAAAAAAAAATCAGAATTTTCTGATGCAGGAGCAAAATGTATGGTTAAGTTTTGGCTTTTGCTAAATACAGACTTGTCTGTTGCATAGATTCTAAGGATGGAATTTAAAATGTCAGAACTCATGTGTATGTAACTCAGGCTGGCCTGTAACTTGATCCTCTTCCTTAATTCCTTCCAGTCCTGGGGTGGGGGTGGGGTGAGGAGGGCAAGATTAGGAATTAATGAAATCTATAACCCAGCACACTACAGCTTTTACAGGCTGCCCTGTTTTCTATGTGGATTAGAACAGCATTTTTGGTTTTGTTTTTTTTTTTTTGAAGTCCAAGCCTAGCTTTCCATTCATTAGTCCACTGAGATTCTAGTCAGCCATTTCCCTACTTGAAACTGTGGAAAAGAAGTCAGCTTTTTACTATTAAAATCTCCAAAGTGTGAAGCATTTAACTAATTATTCTTTATCAATAAAAAAAATCAGAGTCAGATATTGGAGTAAGAACCTGAATGATCAAAGAAGCTACCTCTTCAGTTCCTTCTTACAAAGGGGCCAAGATCCTAATTAAGCCCGCTTTACTACTTCCTCAGTCCTCCAAAATGTTAATTTTGGTCAGCTAGTGGCTAGCTCCACTCTCTGATTCAAACTAAACTTTATTGTCAAAATGCAATCAAAATATAACACAACACAAGTGAGGTGGAAATGTAGGTTGGTGGTAGAGCACTTGCACTTAGATGACCTTGGATTTGAGCCTCAGCAGGCCAAAACAAAAAGGATTTGAGGTATCCTCTTGAATTCTTTTTGCTTCATTTGCTCTTTAAATGGTCAAAGTAGGTACACAAAATCAAAGTATCAGTTAACAGAGCACCTACTAGATAAAAGAAAAACAAAACAAACAAAAATACAACAAACTAATTTGATGTTTCAAGTTTTCTTTGGAGTAAGCTGTCATCTAAGCAGACCTTTCATGGAATTTTTTTTAAGACAGGGTTTCTCTGTGTAGTTTTGGTGCCTGTCCTGGACCTCACTCTGTAGACCAGGCTGGCTTCAAACTCACAGAGATCCACCTGGCTCTGCCTCCTTAAAAGTGTGCGCCACCACTGCCCGGCCTGAAAAATTTAATAAAGATGAGGCTAACCTTGAAGAAGAGGTTCTTTCTTGATTCAACAGTAAAGCTTGTCAAAAATACAGCAGGAGTGTGACATTTAGCATTTATAGAAGGGAATAAATGGTCTATAAAGAAAACTTTTTAAATGTAAATGGGTTCATTCACTTTGTCTAGAACTTTAGTTGCTAAGTTCTGGCCTTTAAAACGAAACAAAAACTTCTCACTAAACCACTATCAATAACCTGGGGTGGCCCACCTAGCTAAAGAACAAACAACCCCAAAGTCTCATAACAAGTTCTTACTTCAAATTAACAAGACTCTCATTAACCAGTGATCATTCCTTTAGCTTTGCTGTTGTTAGCAACACAGCAAACAATTCATTAGGAAATGCAAATGGCACAAAAACTGAGCTAAGTTTTAACAGGCAAAATAAAGACTAGAAGGAAATGACAAACATTTAGATAGGAAGGTTGGAAGTTCTAATTACTTAGCTTAAATCAACCTAAGATGTAAAGCTAGGAATTTGGTTGTCTGTTGACTGAAATCAAGGCCACAGTGCCCATTTTCCTCAGGAATACAGAAATAGAGGGGAAAGCCAGACTATAGCTTTGACACTAACACTGATGTACTTGGGAAAGACAATTTTAAAATAAAATCTCTTGAGAACAAGGACTATTAAAATCACAATCTCTAGTAATAAATTCCTATAATGACTGAACAATTTTGGGTTAAGTTGTATAAAACAGCATCTAACTATAGGTTATACTCAACTCGGTTTATTATATAAAAACTGCTATACATAAAAAGTTATTAGGGATAGAGATAGCTTAGTTGGTAAAGTATTGTCATGTTTTTAAGTACTTGAATTGGATCCTCAGAACCAGGGTATATGGGGGTGTTGGAGAGACAGGAAGATTACTGGGGCTTGGAGGCCAGCCAGCCAGGCCCAATTGTTCTAAGGGAGTAAGAAGCTGTCTCAAACATTTAAAAAGTGGATGCAGCTGAGGAATGGTACTGTTGCTGTTGACCTCTGGCCTCTGTGTACATCTGCACACATTTATGGCTCCTGTGTGTGCACAAACACATAAATATATACAAAGAAAATTCTGTTTTGTAGCAGTGTTTACACTAAAGGAGAAAAAAACAAAACTCAAAAATTTTACGTTATATATAATATATAAATGCATAATGTAACATTTATGGCAACATAACCATGGAAGGAAAATGCCAAGAAACACAAAATCAGAAACAATCCAACCATAAACTCTTAATAGGACAAAATACTCACAAACTTTGTACATTTAGAAATTTTATCTGAAGTACTGCTCACTTCTCCAAGCAAACGAATGTCCTTCCTTACTAGCTGTTTCAGAATTCAAAGTATAGAATTTATACTGGATATTAAAGAATCACCCCTCCTCTTTTTTACTACATATATGGTTAACACATATTTATAGAAGTATAAAGCTTTAGAGTCAGAATAATAAATATGACATTAGCTCACCTAAAAATAATTTCAGAGAACTATGGGGTCTCTATGCTTGTTACCTTCCTATTTTGCTTCATTTAAGTGAAATGGTATAATACTGGTTCCTTTCATTCTCAGATGAAATTCCATTCTGAGAAACAGAATTATTTAAAGTTTTTATTTTATTTTATTTTATTGGTTTTTCAAGACAAGGTTTCTCTGTTTAACAGCCCTAGCTAGCTGTCCTGGAACTAGCTCTATAGACCAGGCTGGCCTCGAACTCACTGAGACCCGCCTGCTTCTTCTCTGAGTGCTGGGATTAAAGGTTTGCACCACTACTGCGCAGCTGAATGATCTAAACGTTAAAATGGCCCAGGGATTATGGAATCCACCTTTTGGCTAGCAGCATGTAGAAAACTTCCAAGATGTTTTTGGTTATTTAGGAATAAATTTACTGTTTTTTGTTTGTTTTTTCTGTTGTAACTATTTTTGAAACAGGGTCTCATGTAGCCCAGGCTGGCCTTGAACCCCTTGATCCTCCTGCCTCCACCTCTCTGCTGGGTTACTTTTCATTAAAAAACAAACAAAAAATAGAACTGGGTTCAAGGTATCTACAACTCTTATTAAATATTTAAGGATCTTAAGAGCCCTATCTGCAAATATGGAATTGAGTAGTTACTATTAAAACATATTATCCAGGAACAGGCAGGTAACATCTAATTCATCTTCTTAAAAGACAAACTCAAAAGACCATGTGCATATAATGTGCTATAATCTGTCTGAAACAGGATCTCATGTAGCTCAAGATGGCCCTGAACTTGTGACATCTCTTACTCCACCTCCTAAGCACTGTGATTACAGGCATCTGCCACCAACCCCAACGAACCATAACATCGTATTTGTCTATCAAATGATTTCAGTTCCAATCATCTTCAGATATGAAGCTCTACATCGTTTGTATTTTCAAGAGGACACTAAATGTCAGGGGCATGGGTGAAACATACAGAGGAATTTCAAAAGACCAGTTCTAAGTTAACGTGGAATGTTTTCTTACTCTGAATGTCTCATTTATTTTGGTAAATGTGTCAAATGAATACATATAATATACACACAAAGCTCTAAGAGCAGACAATGAACATGCAATATTCAGACTTGATTGAGTTTTCAGTTTCACATTATCTATCATGTTAATAAACCCTCTTACTGGACCAGCAATCTTCTGTTCACTAAAACCCACAGCTACTAGAAGCTGTCACACTGACATAATTTAAGCAACAGAATTAAACAAGGCCACTGCAAATTGAATCTAATATTTGAGTAAACAATGCTCTTTACCTTGATAAACTTCCAAATATATCAAGAAATCATAAACCCATCCATGTACCCATTTGTTTTATATACTACTGTTAAGTCTGTAGATGAAACTGCCCTCTACATTTAATAAGAACACTAAAAATACTTTTTCTTCTCAGCATTTTGCAGAATTATCTCTGGCCCATCAGCTGCTCCCAGCCCGCCCTGCTTGCCTCACATTATCTTTTCCTCTCATCGAAACTCTGGTCAAAACAGCTTTTTGAAAAGTTTGAGAGCCAGTATTTTTACAGTCTATAGTCCACTAGTGTTTAATCTTATAATCTCTAAAGGAGCATGCACACCCAAACACTCATCAGTGGGACTGGTCACCAATATGAACAATGGTTCTAAGCATTTAGGAGTAGAGAAGTTTTAAGAGGCATGGTAATGCTGCGTCATCTGGAAGTGGGATGGTTTATTCCAGACAGTGGGACAAATGCACAGATATGACATTTTGAGATGGTATTTTAGCACATCAGCAAATCTGTTATGTATGGTCCCAGTTAAGATTACAAGCAAGCAAGAGACAAACATTTAAATAAAAATAAAGGTGGTATATGGCAATTTTTTGAGATTACTGGAAAAGAAAGTTCTTTTTTTTTTTCTTCTTTTTCTTCCTTCCCTTTCCTTTTTTTTTTGTTTTTGTTTTTGTTTTTCGAGACAGGGTTTCTCTGTGTAGCTTTGGAGCCTATCCTGGAACTCACTCTGTAGCCCAGGCTGGCTTCGAACTCACAGAGATCCACCACCTGCCTCTGCCTCCCGAGTGCTGGGATTAAAGGCGTGCGCCACCACCGCCTGACGAAAAAGAAAGTTCTTAATACAAGAAACAAGCTTGGAATTTTTAATAACTTCAGAAAGCCTCTAGTCCCTGAAGCTTTAACAATGAATCTACAGCTCCGAAGCTAGAACAATAGAAGTGAGAATAGTCACAAAACGAGAAAATTTATATGATGAATGAAAAGTAATCCTAAGTTGTTGACATGGTCACATGCATAGGCTGGCCCCCTAACTCAACTGTGTAGAAAAAAATGTTCTCGAATCTCATGATTCTCCTGTCCCTGCTTCCCAAAAGCTGGGATTAAGCTTGTGCAACCATGCCCAGCTCTCCAGAGTTTGAAAATGCCATTTTAAAAAATTTAAAGAAAAATTAAGAGTTCATGAACTTCATGGGAGTCAACAATCAGAAAGAATGAGAGCAAGGAGTACAAAGGATTTGTTTCCATTAGCCTAGAAAATGGCTTCTCTTCCTTATTAAAACAAAATTTGAGAATCCTTTGGAAAAAATTATGTCTTCCTATTTAACTTCTTTCTAAAAAAAAATGATTGTAAAGGAGCAATGGGATTTACACACAGAAAACAAAATACCGGTTTAAATAAAGGGGTGGGGGTGGGGAGCTATGAATTTGTTCAACTCTTTGTATGGGTAACTATTTACATTTAAAATACTGTTTCTTTTAGTTCACTCACATTGTTACTTAACAACAAAAACATCCACAGAAACAATGCTACAAACCAAATCTTGTTTTCCAACTATAAAAAGACCCTACAACTAAAAAATAAAGGAAGTAACATATTGTCTAACCCAGGTAGATAGAATCTGCAATCCTATTAATAGGAGTGAGCAGGCGTGTGAGTTCCAATCCAGCCTAGACTATTAAAAAGCAAAACCCAATCTCACCCTCATCCCTTATATCCCACTAAAAATACACCTTATGCTATTACAAATGTGCTTTAAAGATGCAGGTTCGAGAACTTTAGCGAATAATATTTACCAGAAGCATCTGTAATTCCATTTTTTTTATTTTTAAAAATAAGGACGATATAAATGCAATATCAGGTATTGAAAACGACCTTTTGGTTTCATACAGAACAAAATACCAGCAGCTGGCATTCCCTATTACTAAGGATACCTATATTTGAAAAGCAACCCTCACCAGTAAGAGGTTCAACATTCAAACCGGATGTTCAGTTAGGGAGGGAAATGAATACAAAGTATATAAGAAAAAGAAAGTTTGAAAGGGCCCTTAAATTCTGACTAGGATACAGTCTTTCACTGCTTGTCTAGTCTAGGAAACTGAAGTGTTCCTGAGTGTTACTCACTTGCTTCCAAACTTTGAGTACACGGTATTATTCTATTCAGAGCTGAGAAACCTCGTGTTTTGCCTGAAAGAACCAACAGGTCTAGCCTGTCCTTGTTACCCAGCCCAGTGACCCTCGGGGCTTCCCAGTTGGTTCACGGGAGGGAACTGTCACCTTACATAAGTACACCTAGCAAGGAGAAAGGCAGACGAGGAAATAGGGCGTCAAACCTTCTCCTCCACTAACAGCTGGCACACCCCGAAAGGAGTGTCCCTCTTGGGGGCTTTCCCCCGGGAGACGCAGCTGTTCCGCTGTGCGGGGGAGGGGAAGCGCTTTCAAACAGTCATTTCTTCCTCTTGAGGCAGCCAACGCCGACCGCGCCACCGTCCCCTCCCCCGCCCCAGCCTGGGTCGCAGCCAAACCCCACAGGAATGCAGCCGATCACATGCGCTGCGGCGGCGGTGGACGTGCCTCTCCCCCCGCGCCCCAAGGAGACCAAGCGCCATCTTGCCCTGACGCAGTTACAAAAGTCATAGGAGAAACTGCGCCTCCACGGCCGCGCTAGCGCCCCAAAGTCTCGCAGAGGCCGAGCCATGGCCCTCACCTCGCGCAGGGAGAGGAGCAAATGATCAGGGAAGAGCCTTGAGACTTCCTTCGCCACTGCTTGGGTTCCAAAGAGGCCGCGGCGACAACGATCGCCGTCATCACTTCTCCCTCTCTGCCTTCGCTACAGACTCCCCCGGCGACTCTGGCCCCACCCGCTGCTGCAGCATGAGGTCATCGCCAGCCAATCCTGACGCACCCGACACAAGCCACCAGGCGCCGATTGGCTGCCGACACCGCTCTGCCTCTCCCCACTCCTCTTCCAGAGCACCCAAGGTCGTGCCGTGGGCCAGGAGGACGGAAACCGCCATTTCGGGGAAAGGCCCCAAAGCCAGATCCGTGATCGCTGTGTGACTTTAGTGGGGAAACCCGTTTTATTCCTTGGTATCCCCTTTTCGCTCCGAGAAAGCAGCTCTGCCCCCTCCCCCGTTTAATCACCGCCACACAAACGAACTCCCGCTCCCCCCCCAGCACACTGTTCCGCGGCTGGGGAATCCTTCCCCGCCGCTAAGGAGTCTAGGCGGCGGCGGCGGCGGCGGCGGCACCGGCAGCGGCAACGGCGGCTTTTACCCCGTACACGGTGGCAGGGAGGCGGCGCTGACGATGGCTGCACTTTTTTCTGCGGCTTCTCCCCCTGACCTCTTCCGTTTCTTGCTCCTCCATCGTGACGGCGCCGGACTCGCCAGCTCCACTTTTATCCGGTGCCCCGAGCCTGCGCACTGGAGCCTCCTCAGCCACTAGTGGGCGTCGAGTGACAACCCGACCGGGCTCACCCTGCGCTGGCAGGCCAGACCGGGGCGGGGGCGGGGACGGCAGGACAAGGCTGCCGGGGGTGGGAGCGATGGGCGGGGGGTCGTCCCCGTCCCCGCTGTCCTCCTCGGGCTCACCGACATCCAGACTTGAGGGCTGCTCGGGGACAACGGGTAGAGAGCCAAGCCCACCCGCTAGCGAGACCTCCACAACCGTCGGCGAATGGCTGGGTGCACCTGTTGTGAAAAAGAGGGAGCGTCTGGCCGGCTCGCGGCCTCCCGCGTGACGTCTCCACGGCCCGGCGCAGAGGCCGCGCCTGGAGGCAGCCCATAAACAAGATGGCGGCGAGTAGCTTCGTCCCCTCCCCCCTGCCCCTGCGGAGCGGGGCGGGCGGGCCCCGTGCGCTTGCCGCCGCCGCCGCCGCCGCCGCCGCTGCCGCCGCCGCCGCCGCCGCCGCCGTCGCCGCCATTTTCCCAGAGCGAGAAGCAGTGACACTGAGCGGGCGCAGGGGGCCAAGTCGGAGACCGAGCCTGAGTTCGGGAGCGGCAGCAGAGGGGGCATAGACACTCGGAGCAGCCTCGCCGTCCCCGCAGCATTGCCGCCGCGGTCCGCAGCGCCCGACTCCTCCGTCCCCACGGAAGACACTGCGCGCTGCTGCCTGGGGAGGGGGTGTGGAGCCGGTCCTGACCCGCAGTGGCTGTCGTCGGGGGTCGTCCGAGCGCCGAGCTGTGGAGAGACTCGTTGGGGGTCGAGCCGATAACAGGGTTCGGGTGTCTGGTGTGTGAACATCACAGGTCAGTGCTTGTCGTGTCCGTGGGAGTCGTGGGGTCCTCGGTCGGGGGCACTTAGGGCTCCAGGGAAGGGGTCGCTGTCCCTCGGGAGCCGGGCTCCACACAGGCTCAGGCGCCCTGGCTGGGTCGGACGTCGCTTGTGGAAATGGAATTTCTCCTTTCTCCTGTCTGTCCCTGGCAGAGCCATTATGGCGGGTTTTAGGGTAGTGGAAGGGGAAACTGGCAGTTAAACCCCCTTGAGAGTGGGAGTTAGGGAGGGGGCGCCCTCCTCCCTGGCAGTGGGTTCAGGCCACCGGGGTGAAGAAGGCGCCTTGTGACTGCTATAGGGTTTGTGTCGGAGAGGTCCCAGGAGCTGCCAGCTCTCTGTCTCCTCTAGCTGCATCTTGTTTGGGTGCTGAGAGAAGACGTTTAGGCCTCGTTTTCTTCTTCCTGCCTTTATTCCTTGTCACTCTCTGGCATAATGTAATCCTAAATATGAAAGGGGTTAAAAGAACGCCCTGGGCATCTCTCTTTGTAGGAGAGAGACAGCTCCTCATCCTCTCCGGGAGAGGGTAAACCCGCCCCTAAGGTGGTCACCCCAGCCTTCCCAGTCTCCTCCCCCGCTCTTCTTGCATTACTGCCGTCCTCGACTGTGCCAAAGCCTAAGAATCCACAATATGGCTCATTTCAGAAAAGCTTATTTTGACCGAAGGACTGGCACCAACGCAGTGGCAGCAGATAGAGATGAGAAACAAACGGTTCCCTGTGCTAAACCGGGGAGGAGAGAGAGAAAAAACAATCCGGGGTGCTTGCTTCACTGGCCTTAGTTCCGCCTAGATCCGCCCTTATCTAGACTGTCTCTCAAGAATGATCAAATTGAAAGGCAAAGAGAGATCACTGGAGTTAGTCCTAGAGTAAATTTCTATGTTGCTTATTTTATTCACTCTTTAGAGATGGGAATAATATAAAGTGTTTGGAGTTCTGGAGACCTTGGAGAGAATTAAGTTAGGTGCATTCAGCTCTAGGTTGGAGTTAGCAATACCTAATTGGGAAACGGTCCCCCTTTCCCTTTAATTTCTGAGATGGAGAGTAAAAACTGTAATTTCCCTCTTTTGTCCTTTACAGATTCTAAAAATGGCGGCCCCAGGCTGATGTTGTGGTAATCTAATCAGCTCGGGTCCTCCACACCCCATGCAGTGCGTTTGTCTGCAGCATATTACAGCCTTATTATGTTTACATGAAAAAGATTGGGCTTGTCTCCCCCTCCCTTCTCCAAACCATTTACAAAAATTCGTCAATTTTATTGCAAATTACAATGCTGTGTTTTAGCCGATTAATTTTATTGGTTTTTCCTGAGAGGCAAATAAAACAACACAACTTTTGAAAAAAATAAAAACATTCGGCCTTGAAAATTCCATGGTCAAGGGACTTTTAAACATTAAAAATTTATTTATGTTGGCCTTAAATCACCCATTTTTATCTAGTATGTCAAAGTATAATGTTTTGTTAAATGTAAACCATTTTACGTGATTGAGAATTTTTGTCTTCAGTTAAACATATAACTCTTAACTGATTTTGTGTATTTCGATTTTTGCATTTTGTTTCAGAGTAAATTTTTTGGGGAGCTGTACAAACAGACCCAAACCTGTTACTTCACTGGATATAAGGATGCTTTTCTTCCCAATATTGTGTCTTGCCTCTGTTTTTCTCCTGTATTTAAAGCTTTAATAATTTCCAGTTGGTTGTATATTTGGTAAGGTGACACTCCATGCTTTGCTGCCTCTTAAATTCATCTTATTGCATACTATCATCATTATGTAAGTTTAAAAAAAAAGGCTTTGGTCTTGATTCCCTTCCCCATGCCCATTTGCCTATTATGGGATTGTGGAATTACTCTGTTTTAATAGACCTTAAATAAAACCATTGCCATAATAGGTTCTTGAATCCATTTTATGCCATTGTCAAAATCTTCAAGACTGATACAGAAAATTAACTGTCAGGTGTCATTTAACTGTACTTTGAAAAGTGTGGTTGATTACAATTTATTTGCATACTGGGAGGGCTGTCTTCTTTCTGGGTTGAACTAAGTAGTAAGATGTGATTGGGCCATTAGTGGGGTTTAATGAGCTTTCTGATTGTGCAGCAACTAGAAGATGAGTGCCTTTCAATCCTTACTCAATCAGTACTTAAAAAGGTTGGAGAGCACACATCTTTTCGTGAGTCTTTCTCTATTGGGTAAACCTTAGAACAGGTTGTACTTCATATTGTGAATATATGAACTAGTTGATGATAAGGTACATTCTGCAAAATAACTGTGGAAATAATGGGATTAGGCAGTTTTATATCCCAGTGAGTTTTATCCTTGAAGACTGATCGAGTACAGAACCATACTTAGAGGCTTTGAAATATTACATAATGAAATGTTGATGGATAGTGGGTGAGTTTGTAAAGGAATCCCAGGTCACTTATTTACATAATGCTCGTGAGTGTGTGAGTCTAGACCCTAGATACAGTTTATGAGCTCCATGGTTAAGATTTGTAATTTAGAACAAATTTGGTACTTTTAACTTGATAGTATTTGATCTTCCTGTCCAGTACATGAAATCAGTGTTTTATAAATTTATGTAGCAATAAGAGGGAAAACTGTCTATACATACTGTAGTTTTCTTGATGTTGATGTTGGTCAGGTCTAGATGTAAAGCAATTGGCTAACTTGGATTCACATAAAAACATTGTTAGAAACAAGAAAAGCTTCATTTTGGGTTTTGTTTCTCTTTTGACTCCTGTAAAATAAGGAGTAATTTTTAAGTGTTAACAAACAACAGTACCTTATTTTCAGTATATAAACAACATAGCTGTTGTATAAGTTGGGATGGAGGAGGCGAATTTATTAGCAAGTTGTGTTTCATTTCTGTTCCCAGAGAATTTTGAAACATTTTATCTCTTGGGAGGAAACTTAACAGTCCTAATTTGTTCCTAGGATAGCTGAGTTTGAGTGATTACATATTTTATCTGTTCAAGTGGAATTGTAGAAAACCTATAATAGAGTAAAATTACTCTTTAAAAAAGTTATTTTCAGAGACACATTTTGATCATACTTGATTTTTGTCTTTATAAAGTATCTTTCTGATTCCTATTTAAGTTGAGAACTTTTGCCCATTTCCATTTCCTTCAACTCTAGAGTCACAGTGGCAGTAATAGCTGCTAATAGTGGTTATGGGCAGCAGTAATGCTCCTCTGTAGAATTCTGGCTTGTCCTCACTTCTTCCAGCCAGAGAAGCTCCACTATATATCTTATTGATGAGGGCAACTATTACTTCTTAATTAGTATCTTAATTTATAAGAATAGTGTGCTCATTTTTGTGTATTAATTTCTTAAACCTATAGTTTTATTTTCAAAGGTGTATTAGAAAATCCTAACAGCTCTGCTTTTTTAGAAATTGCTATTGAAACATAGATGTAAACTACTGTGGTAATTTTTAAATGTAAAAAAAATGTTCATTGTTACTTAGTTATAAAGTATTGTGCATATTTGCAATTATGTAAAGTACTTGCTATGTAAAATTTTACCTTCTTAAATATCTATATTAAATAGCAATGGAATTTGAAGAGTTATCAGAATTGGGGGATATTAGCATTAGTAGTATGCAGTTTGAAAAGACAGTATATTATATTAAAAACATTTTAATAAAGTATAATACTTGTTGTTTCTAAAAGACTCATTCTTAACAGATGATAGGTGCTCATTTATTTGTTGAATTTAAAGCTTTAATGTAAACATGTACTTCATAATGGGTTAATCAGAGACTGTTTCTTATTATGTCTCAGAGCAAATGTTAAATACATGTGTTCCATGAAAATTATTTTTACTTTTTTTAGTTACTGCTCCAGTAATAGGAAGGATCTATCTGCTTCAAACATTGCTGTGTGATATTATTAGCTTTGGGCTGAATTCAAGAATCCAAGTGACTCAAATTTATTATCTGTTTTGTCATGAAGAAATATCGGAAGGAGCCTTATTTCCTTAATACTGAACTGATTGTTTTTGTATTAATTAAATATTTATTTAATGTGAAAGAGCAGTATTTGTGGTTGACATTGTTTTGCACTACTAGAAGTAGACAGTATTAACCAAAGATTGACCTATTGCTGTTAAGCTATAAGTATGTTATAGAGAACATATTATGAATCAAAGAAATTGTTTATTATTGTGAACTTGTAGACTAAGTGCTAAATTAAAAATTAAATGAAGTTGGATAGGTGGCTCAGTGGTTAAGAGGACTCACTGCTCTCCTGAAGGTCCTGAGTTGAATTCCCAGCACCCACATGGTAGCTTACAATTGTCTGCTGCCATCTTCTGGTGTGCATATGCACTTGCAGACAAAATACCCATATACATAAACTACATGAATAAATAAATTTTAAAAAAATCAAATGTTGGTAACCCAGATTAAGTAATACAGATGAAAGATTTGTATCTTTAAGCATATGAAAAGTTTGTTATTGTTTAGAGACTACAGTGCTTCTTAAATCAGAATCAGAAAAATCCTTGTTAAAATTCATGTGATACAAAATCAGTTGTTTTTCCCTCTTGGTCAGTTTATTGTAGACAATTTAAGAAAGTCATTTTCATGTTGGGTGAAATTTACAGTGTTATTGGAAATTTCATTTCATTATTTACCTAAAGTATTTAAGGCTTTAGTTAGTTTTGGAGGCAGGGTCCCATGTATTCCAGACTGGCCTGAATTTGCTTATGTTAGCCTAGGACGACCTTAAACTTGTGATCATTCTGTCCCTACCATTAAATACTAGGATTACAGCTGCACACCACTAGACCTGGTTGATGTGTTAGTGGTTGAACCCAGGACTTTACATATGCTAAGCAAACACTCTGTTCACTAGATTATATCCCCAGGCCCAAGAGTCTTCTAATTTGTAGATAATGACTTGTAAAACATTGATTCGATTTGTAAATAATTAGCTACTTACTCAAAAATTTAAAATGTTGGGTTTTTGTTG